CCCTGGCGTTATTATTGCACAGCTTGTTGCATCGAGAAACGTGGTGGGAATTTTATGAATAAATTCGGTACACGGAGATATCACGATATATAAAATGTCTTATTAAGAATCTATCAATATCTCGAACATCGACTGAATTTTAAAAAGTTCTTTATACATTGGCTCTCTTTCTCTGTGAATTACTATAAACAGTTATTACCAACTCTCAAATTAGTGATTAGAAGCTGTTGAAAAGTCAGGTCGAAATCACCCTCAGTCATCCTCATTTAATACCTTGAACGATTCTAACGAAAATCTGTATATACCTCGGATCTATGCTTCTCGCGAGTAAAGTAAAAATCAATTATCGTAAATATTCCAGAAAAGAAGGGGCTCTAGCAGCAGTTTTAACGAATTTTTTTAACAATCTCCGTGCACTGAATTTATTATTGAATTCGTATTTCGTGTTGTATACCAGTGAACGATCCAGTGACGCGAGCGTTTCCTCATCTCGGTGAAAAAATTGTTCGAAGAGTCGGTTTGTCTAAGAAGAAGAAAATCTGGTTCGAAGGAGTCGCGATGCGTCGCGTTCATCAAAACCGAGCACCTATGATTTAATCGACGATAGAGAGAGATAGAGAGAGAGAGAATAATTAGATCGGGAGCGAATCCGCGCGAATGTAGGAAGCATGAAAGTGCGTGTGTGTGGGTGAGAGAGTGAGAAGGAACGAGAGACAGAAAGGGGGAATTAAAAAGGGGAAAAAGTAAAAAAAAAAAACAAAAAAAAACAAAAACAAAAAAAAATAATAGGCAGATGGGGGAACACGCGAGTTTCTCGTAGACGTGTGTTCACACGTCCATGTGGGAACCCTTCTTTGGATAGCCAAAATACACGACGAGCCGAAAGAGGTGCCGTTATTATTATTATTATTATTAATCGTCTATTCTCCACGCGACGAATGTTAATTTCATCGTTTCCTCCACCACAAACCCTCCGTGGAGTAGTTTCATTTTCCATTTCCGCGTGATAGAAGAGAAAATAGAACACATAGAATATTTAATAGAACGGGAGAAGAAGAGGATCATCGTCCCTCGTCGCGTTTGTTTCTCAGAGTGCCAAATAGATCACAGAGAAAACGAGAGAGAATGAGAGAGTAAGAGTGTGAGAATGTTGATTTCGGTTCGATTCAAATTTAGTTTTTTTTTCTTTTTTTTTTTTTTCACTTCTTTTTTTCTTAACTTCCTCGGTTTTCAAATCTGGATCCGTTCGAGATTCCAGTTCCTTGGATATATAGAAGTCTCGACAATAGGAAGAAAAGGAAGACACGCTTTTGTTGCGGCGTGGACGACAGGTGTGTTTCGTGCTCGGTTTCATTAAGAAACCTCGGATAGGGAGAAGCTTGTTTCGGTTCGACACACGTTGGGATCCGTTTCGATTTATCGATCGTTTGCCCCATTGCGGTGTTTCGAGTGAAATCGCTGTGCGCAGATAAAGAAAGAAAGGAAATCGATCGTTCTAGAGACGAGACCAGAGGCCGCGCGTGTGTATATGGTTTTCGGCGAACGCGCGTGTGTACTTTTGTACTCCCTACCGTTTTCAATTTTTCACCCGTGTGTGGTTTGTTAACAAAAAAAAAACGAAAAAAAAAAGAGATGAAGATAGAAGAAAGGTGCCGCGCGCGAGCTAAGAGTTAAACATATTTAATCGCGATTTTTCTCATCATCGGCTCTTTTTTCAGTTCCTATCGCAGGATTCGATGACGCAGGAACGAACGAAAGGAAACGTAGAGGGAGGGAGAGAAAGAGTTCCTTTCGCGGCAGAAAATCGATCCGCGATCACGCGAGCTACCGATCATCGATCGTCGTTCGCGAATCGCGAAACGAGATCACGTTTTTGTCACGTGTTACATCCCCTCAGAAAAAATGATTTTCTCACCACCAATTACTCGTTTCGCACCTGATCCTCGAAGACCATTGGAGAGTATCGATCACCGTTAAAACCAAAGAACGACGATCGATCGTCGAACGTGGCCGTGTTTCGAGGCACCTGGTTCGATTTTTGTAAAAATTAGTCAGTTTCAATGGGCGTCGATGTACCTACCCCTGGATTTATCCAGACACGATCGAGACCTCGAGGCGACTTTCCACCAAGGGAGATCTATATCGCGGTTTCCCGAGGATCCCTGAAGACAAGGGGGATATTTTCATCTCGATGGTACGTCGACGCGGGACGCAATCGTTCTATAGTTTTCTAAGACTAACGATTAAAGAATAGGCTAATCTTTCCTTTTTTTTTATACCGAGCGTGAAAGTCGCTGTAAACGATCGTTTCGAAGTTTCATCGATCGTCGTTGGCTCGCGGACAGGACGGCGAATTCAGGAGAGAAGACTTTTGATCCACGAAGAGTAGTTGAATCCAGTTGAAGTATATCTACCTCGATCCATGCAGCCCTGAGAGATTCGACGAAATATATGTAATTCGATCGACTGCAGAGATAACTCGAGGGCTCGGTTATATAAGTTTCTCGGGGCGATCACGCGAATAGAGATCACTCTCCTGAAACCTGTCCGCGACGTGTCGCGATCTTAGCGAACGGTTTTCTGTGTCAGT